GCGAGCGGCATCCCGGAAAGGCCTCGGCACGGTGAGCCTTCACGGCGTTCAGCTGCTCCTCTGCCTGATGCACCTGCTGCTCCCCCCCATCGAGAAGGCCCTGGCGGGGGTGGATCGTGACGCGTTTCAGGTTGTGCGCCTCTTCAAATACGTCACCGTGACTCTGAGCCCGCGCTGCCTGAGCCCTCTGGTCTACGGCCTCCGGGACGAGATGTTCGTCAAGGCGCTCAAGTCGTACGCGCGCTGCGGTTTCTCCGGGAAGAACTGGAGGAGGGAAAAAAGGCAAAAGCTGCATTTCCGTCGCCACGCTTCAAAAGCCGAGTGCTCAAAGGGGGGCGGGCCGGATCGCGTCACCCTTCCAAAACAATAGCCGAGGTGATTTCTTTTCCAGAAAACACGCACACCAAAACTGCTCATCTAGTAAAAATTCTGATCCTTCCTTGTACTTGGACTGACCGCATTTATCTTTTTCGGAGCATTCCATTTCCCCCCCAGTTTTTCGTCCTCTTCTTTCGTGTGATCTTCAAACAGAAAGGGACACTTCCGTATCGTTCCTGATGAGCACAATGAAAACCATTTCATTTCTCTCCTCGCCCCCTCCTCTTCCCTCTCGTTTAGTTTCCACATCAAAGATATCGGCGCGCTTCCCGTTCTGTGTGCCGTTGGTTTGTTGGTGCTCCGCTGGACCAATTGTCACCGGGAAAGTCAATGTGTGTTTTACACAGTTGGCCAATCGATCAGATTCCAATTGGATCTACACTATCACAGTTGCTCGTGCGGTTTGTGTGTATGAATACAAAATAAAAAGACACTTCGTCCCAAAAATGTATGCGGTGATTCCGCCTTGTGACATATTCCTCATTAATGCCATTTCGGGGTACGGTACTTTGCTTTGCTTTTGAACCCGACACGTTCAGGACTGTTTCACAAACTTAACACCTCTCATTTTTTTTTTTGTTGTTTTTTATGTCGAGAAAACAGAGGAGCTGAAGGCCGTGCAGATCCAGCCGAGGAGAAGGATCAGAGAGGTGAAGAAGGCCTACAGGATGAAAATGGACGACGGGCTACAGGCCAGTCATGTCACTGGTGTCTGAAAACCATCCGTGGCCACAAAAGCCCAAAGACATTGGCTGAGAAGGACAAGGACCCTGACAGCACTGGGCACCTCCTTCAGCCAGAGACTGTTACACCCGCGCTGCAAGAAGGAGAGATACCGCCGCTCACTCCTACCGACCGCTGTCAGGCTGCTGAATGAAAAATAAAATGCGAGAAAAACCAGGAACAATTGTAAATAGCACAGCCACCTCACACCAGTTGCATATATGCTTGGATGTATCTACATCTATATTTATATTGCACTTATTTTCAACTGTGTACAGCTCTCTTCTGAAACATTTCTTTTTGTGCATGCAAACGCTTTGTTTTTCTTCTTTCTACCCCCCAATTTTGCTGCTGTAGACTGTTCATTTCCCCAGTGTGGGACAAATAAAGGATATCTTAATACGGAAACGCACCTCTGCTCAATGTTTGGTCTTGTTTTGAAGTGTTTGGAGGCACCCGTACCCTTTATTCAGAGAGCGACGCTCTCTCATTTCGAACTGTATTGCGGCAGAGTGAGTCAAGCCAAGTCAAATGAATTTCCAACAGCCCTTGGTCACACGCAGACGAGTCTCACACGTGCTCACAGTCGACAAACTGAATGATCTTGACCGCAAGCCCCCCCCCCCCCAAAATAAAAAAAAAAAAAATCTGGGGAAAGATGGGTGTAGCATGCTGCGGACACCCGCAGCGGCTCCTCTTGTTTTATGTTGAGAGGGAAGAAATTTCATCTGTGCCGTATGTTCCAGCACATTTGACAATAAAGTTGTATCCAATCCCTCCCGAACAAGGGTGAAGCTTTACTGATGGTTTTGCCGTTGATATGTGAGCAACATAACTGTGGCCTCATCACCCCAAGAGCTGAAACACGTTTCACAACACACGTCAAGTCGGGTGTGTCTTCTCCTCCATGGCAGAGGCTCTGTCGAACCCCTGAGACTGATTCACCGAAGCCAGGTGAAGGACCACCGCCTTAACGTTTGGTGGGACTCCGTAACAAACTCCGGCGGTCCTCCAGATGTCAACTTCGCCCTTCGCCAACCGCGCTAAACAGGAAATGACAATTCCATATGCACATTTCAAATTAAAATCCCGAGCGCTGTGACCCAAAAATATGATTCTGGTTATTTACAATGAGAACCCTTGAGCAGGGGCCGCAGACGGCAGAATCGGAATCGCCCTACCGGGGCGACCAGCCTGCAACGGATGCCGAGTGGGCGACATTGAACAGCTGCCGGCGCTCGACTTTGGGACTGTCGTTCCAGTCCGTTGAACAAACTGAAACGCTGAAGGAAGAACTCTCCGAGAGGTGTCGCCACAGCAGCTTCTTGCGTGCTTTGTACATGATTTGTGCTATTCTAGTCACAGATAAGGTCATCGCAATTCAGTGTTTCGGTTTGTCAAACGGTTCTGTATGTTTTGATCAGCGAATAGTTCTTTTTGCGCTTTTTGCTCTGCAGTCTCAGGGACAAAATGTTCTTCAGCGCACTCGAGTCACACTGATGATGAGAGAAAGCCATTCCAATTAAGGATGCGTTTGTGCCCAACTTCCGACTTTCAAGTGAAACGCCACCAAATGAACACGTTTGTCTGTCTGAACGTCCCCTTTTTGCGCCCGGAAAGTATTTTGGGTGTTGTCAGAGAAGATGCAGTAAAAGAAACGCGTTGCAACACGAGGAAGTGAAAGTTAAGCCAAAGCCCAGGACATTGCTTCCTGAAGGACAAAGTGTGATGGTTGGCTTCGGCGCGGGCCGACGATACCGCACCGTCCGCACTTGACGACAAACAAAAGGGCTTCAACTGGTAAACTTCGGGGCTGTTGCCGTTTCCAAACATATTTTTGCTCAAGAATGAGTTCCGTCTTCATCATTCATGTGGATGCGCTTTTTCGGGAGGGTGCCTTGAGACTGTTTTGTGGCTCTCCTCGTGGTATACGTAGCCACCAAATTTCGTGTGGCTAACTAATCGGGATAAACGACTGGGGGCTGGAAAAAAAATAAAAGCTTTCAAGACAAGTTTTTCCTTGAAGGAACCTTGATATGGCCAAAATGAGCCAAAAACGGCGGCTTCAAACGTCCCCGCTGAGTCTTTTTTGTGATTCTACTCAGGCTAGACAGAGCTACCAAATTGCATGTGGCGAAACTGAAACAGGCTTCGGGAGCTGAGTTTCCCCGCCAGATTCAAGCGCTCCAGTTTGTTTTTGAAGGTGCGCTGGAAAAGAGGAACCCAGAATGGCCGCTTGAAAGCGGTCACGTTGCGAGGTGGTGGTGGACCCCAAAAAGCAGGCAAGAGGGAGGAGCAGGGTGAACTTGACGAGTTGGATTAAAACACAGAAAATAAATCCAGAACAAACAAAGTCATGAAAACAAAAAGATTCCAAAGTAACAAACCAAAACCATGGCTGTGGCAAAAAACTATCAACAACAGAAACATGACCAGAACAAACATGACAGCAGCAAACAGCAACAAGCAAAAAGCAACAAAGAAACATGACAGTCGCCAACAGCAACAATGACCCGTCGGCCGGGAGTCCTTTAATACAGTGAAACTCCTCTAGAACGAAACCTACATGGGCGAAAATACCCCCTTATGTGAAAAAATCTTCATGCATTAACACAATTCCCATTCTCCTGCCCCCCATACGACGAAAAACCCC